ATCTTGCTCTTTCAGCTTAAGGCAAGTCACTTCAATTGGTTGAATTTCAATTTCATCATATGTAAAAATAAAGAGCATCTTCCAGTCACCACTCTGGGAGTTGATTTCACGAAAAGATTTTTCACTGATCGTTATTCTTGGTTGTTTTCAAAATTCTCCACCAGATGGCTCTAGTCTCCCTGTGTAGACCCATGCCTACAGCTTCCTTTTGAGCCAGACCTGCTTTTGTGGGTTCTTCCCCTCTGCACACTCAACTTCTACTCTCCTCCAACTCTTTAAACAAAACTCTGCATATGTTTGAAAGCATCTTCTTCCACCTGTCTTCTGTAGCACATTACTTTCCTCATTTAAACTATAGATCAAGACTCAAATAGCCTAATCATTTATTTCATTTTTTTTTTTTTTTATGATACCAGGCTGTACTGTACCTTAATCCCTATCATGGACTAAGGCCAGGACTTGGTCCCCAAAGCCAGCCCATTGGGGCATTTAGAAATAGAACACAGAAATATGTACCTCTGTTCAACAGACGTTTCCCCAAGCGGTACAGGAAGATCCTACGAAAGTCAAAGAACTGAGATTATGGGCTCTTCTGTCTTGGTCTTTCCTTTATTCTACATGACGAGCTAAAGCCATTGAATTCTGGGGGCTTCACTGTAAGGACTTAGGAAGGCAGCAAGGGTTAGTCTACTCATCCATGTCTTGCTTTTTCTTGTATATTCTTTTCACTGCTCATGTGCTAGTTGGGTAGCAAACAGAAGTGAAAGCAACCTTAAGCCTAGTCTAAAAATTATCAAATTCAGACCAGCTCTGCAATCTGGTCCAGCTCATTCCCTGATCAACAGTATTCCCTAAAATTATATAGATATTAAGACATTATATAGATATTAAGAGATTAAAGACTAACTTGAGTTTTCTTCTGCTATGGACTTGGCTTGAAAGAACCATAGACATTTTTCCATTCTCCATCCCTGAGATAGGCTGTTTTTAAAGATCTGGGTCCAGTGGGAACGGGGTTTGTTGGGGAAAGAATGTTTAATAGTACAAGAAAAGGAGGAGGTTGGAGACTTGGCATATCAAGTTACTCATTCAACAGATACTTTCCCCAACTCGTGCCAAGCACTTTTCTAGGCATTGGATATATATCAGGAAATAGAATTGGCAAGGATCCGGCTCTCATAGAATTTATGTTCCAAAGAACATAGCAAACCAACACGTAGTCCATAAATCTGATTGTTTCAGAGAGTGGTCAGTTCTACGAAGGAAATATGGTAGGTTTGCGAGACATAGCGTGCTAGATGGAGCTCCATGAGCTGAGGGCTGCAAGACCCCCAGGCCTACGAGGAGGACTTGGAGAAGAGTAGAAGCTGAGTGTGCAGAGGGGAAGAACCCACAAAAGCAAGTCTGGCTCAAAAGGAAGCTGTAGGCATGGCTTTACGCAGAGAGACTAGAGCTGAGCTCCCTTGGATCCAACATCTCAGGGTTGGAAAGACATCCAAAGGCAAGGGCTGCTGAGCTGCCCAAGTACTGGTCACTAAGGGACTCTCACTCGTGGCTGAACTTGGGACGGAGGGAATCCAACTGCCTGCCATTGAGCACATGCAGCACACATCCCAGACTAGGAGCAAAGCAGTTCTCTTCTCTTTCTTTGGATCATGTAAGCCATGTGGGTTCTTATGTTTATCAGAAGGGGACAGAACCCCCCAAAATGATGGACTTCCCATCACCTTTGGAAAATAGGGTCTCATTAGATTCAATTGGACTAAAGAAATAAAGAGGCATTTCTTATATCCCCAGTGTCACGGAGCTGCATGGACCCATTACATGTATTTATTACCCATAGCTGCCTGCCTTATTTTCCCTATTAGAATGTAAGTGGCTTGGGCTGGGCATGGTGGCTCACGCCTGTAATCCTAGCACTCTGGGATGTCACGGCAGGAGGATTGCTCAAGGTCAGGAGTTCGAAACCAGCCTGAGCAAGAGAGAGACCCTGTCTCTACTGAAAATAGAAAGAAATTAATTGGCCAACTAAAAATATATAGAAAAAAGTAGCCGGGCATGGTGGCGCATGCCTGTAGTCCCAGCTATGTGGGAGGCTGAGGCAGGAGGATTACTGGAGCCCAGGAGTTTGAGGTTGCTGTGAGCTAGGCTGACACCACGGCACTCTAGCCTGGGCAACAGAGTGAGACTCTGTCTCAAAAAAAATAAAAAAGAATGTAGGTGTCTTGAGATCAGGCACTTGATTTCGCACACAGGAAGTTTTAGTGATTTAGAATTTAACATTCAGTAGCCATTTCAGCACTCCCCCCAATTTTCTTCTTTTCTTAACCAATCAGACCTGTGTGAACGTGGAGGGAGCCATGTCAAAATGGGCCACTGTTGGCCTGTCCAGAGTGGGCGAGGAAGAGGTTAGTTATGGAGTTCTGGTTTTCAGAGGCCCAGAATCTGTCTCTGCCACTGCTGGGTGCCGATGACTTTGCTCCGCAAAGGCTCTCCTAGCTGGGCTCCTCCCTCGACTCTGTGGCTCTGTGGTCCGGCCCGAGCTGCAGACAGGGAGGGTGGGCAGAAGCTTCTGTGACCTAGAAAAACGCACACCCTAGATCTTGTGATCTAGGTGCACGGCAGAGCCTCGTTGGTTATGCGGAAGGGCTGGATCCGGCCCCAGGGAGCAAGCTCCAGGGAGGCAGGCGCTGGCTCCAGAAGAGCCCAGAAGGTGCCCAGAAACCTGCAAGGCAAGTGACGTCGCCTCTGCTCCGGGCGCGGGTGCATCTGCCAGCGCCATGCTTGCCACCTGTTTCTGCGCGCTCCGCTGCTCCGCGGGGCTGAGGAAGCGAATGCAAATGTGAGCTTAGGAGGCAGCCACGTCTCCAGGAGCCGGTTCACTGGGCTGTGTCCTCCCTCTCTCCCTCTCAAACTTCTTGGCTGCGACAAAAGGTGCTGTGTCAGAACGGTAGACTGTGCAGCCGGGCTCTTGACTGGGCGCCAGCGTGCTGAGTGGGCAGGTGCTCGCATCTGTTGGAGCTAGTTGCTAAGGTTTCAACCCAAACCAGGAAAAGGGTAGGAGTGGAGGGGCGAGCAGCTGCAGGGTGGGGGCCTGTGGCAGCCGGAAGAGCCTCCCCCTGCTGGCCTGCCCGTGACTCCGGCACTGGAAGCCACGCCAGCCTCACCTCCCAGTCCTGCCCTGCCTGCCTGGGACTGCCCAGACCTACTCTGGGTGTCACTTGGGCTCCTGAGAAATAACCTGGGGTGTTCCACCTTTTAGATGTAGATGAAGCATCTATCTCCTCCCCTCTTTTTCGATGAGCTCCTCTTCCCCTGCAACCTGCTTTAAAGAAAAACTAAACAACCCCTCTAAAGAAAAACTTGAACTTGACCTGCTTGCTTTCCTTTGGCAGGTGCCTTCCCTCTGCCCTTCAGCTTCAGCTCGGTGCAGGGGGACAGTGACTCCATGAATGTGCATTTCCGTCCTCTGTCTCTTGGGAAGTGACTGTCACTCTTTAGAAGCCAATTAGCCCCGTTCCCTCTCATCTACAAGTTTCTTGGGCCCCCAACAGGGCTTAAATATTGCTACGACAAACTGCTGAATGGATTGATGGATAATTTGGAAACGCAGAGAAGGTTGGGTGACAACGGGAATCTCCATTCTCCTATCTGTCACCCTCTTTCCCAAAGAGGGAGAACGGGAATGACTGCATTTTGATTGGCACGAGGCCTCTCCCTATCTGACTTCTGGGAGAGGTGGCATTAATTCTGTACCCTTGGTTCTCAGCATGTGTTTCTTTACTTGTAAAGTGAAAAGGTTTGTAAAGTGTGAAATCATGACTACGATCTCTTCCATCTTTAAACTGCATGGCTCTTTCCTGGCAGGTGGGATTGGCAAGATTTCACACGTAGCTGTCCATGGTTTAGGGGGAGGTCATCGGATTTTGCTGGGGTCAGGGTGAGGGCAGGGCAGCAGGTTTGGCCTGGCAAATAAGTGTTTCTGGCTTTAGGGTTGACGGCCCTGGAGGCTAAGCCAGATTGATCAAGATGGCAAGCCACCAAAAGTGCCCTCTCATTACCTCTTGTGTCAACCAAAAAATTCAGCAAGTCTCCCAAAGACAACTCGCTTTTTTCTTCCCTTTTCAGATGTCTTTAAATTATGGAAAAATACTTTGGGCCAGTTAGAGCAATTGGTTTTTGGTAAGAGTAGTGCCTGGCATAGTGATGGAACTGGCTAGTATAGAAAACAGATAGCTTACATAGTTTTAGTTGTAACTTGGTAGTTGCAATGAAAACCTTAACTAATCTGTGATATGTATTATGCTGTGTCTTTGCACTATATCCTTGGCATCGTAGCATCAAATCACCTGGGATTTTTCTTAAAAATATCACAAGCCTACCCTACAGCTACTAAATAAAAATATCAGAGTGAGGCTCAGGAGTCTGCATTTTAAATGAGTTTTTTAATTGCTTGGATGCATGCCAAAGAAACACTGATTTATAGCCTGTGCTGCAGAATTTCCACCGTCACATGCTATGATGCTATTTCTTCCTCTATTGTTGAAATGCGTGCCACCCTTGCTTCTCCTAACCTGATTCTAAGCTTTTGGATGGCACTCTCCTCTTCTTTTGATGTAGTGTTCAGCACGTGTTCATGCCATTCACCTCAGAGGTTTAAATAACAAGCCATGGATTTGTAACCCTAAAGTTTGGCACGGCCCAGGGACTTGGGCAGTAGCTGCTGTCCTAGGTAGGACAGGAGAGGGAGAGGTCAGCTTTGATTGCTCTAGATGCGTTTCCATATTTGATCACTTTTCATGGAAAGCATCTGGTGGCATATGGAATGCTTCCTCTCCTTGGAAGTTTGGGTCGTAGGTGTTTTGGCTCCACATAAAGGGTCTATAAGACGCTTGGTCTGGGCTCTGGGAGTAGGATGGGGGATGGGGGAGGGCAGGGATGGAGATGATATATACAAGTCATTGGAGCCCCAACATGGTGACCATGGTGACCATTGTGACCAGTGTGACTATCTTGGTTCTTAGAGTGAGGTTCTTAGAGTGATCTGGGTACCGCCAGAGGGCAGGAATAGTATTCCTATTTATGTAAATAGGACAGTGTAGGTCAGAGAAGCCAGGAGACTTCCTCAAAGGTACACAGGTTGGTGGTGGAAATAAGAACAGACTGCTGTGTGACCCATAAGTCACTGGAGATGACAGGAGTCCTCTCCTGGTCTGCGGCCATGGAAGCCTTCATCAAGCTGGGTTTCTTCTTCAGTTCTCAGATTCACATCGTTTGCTGGGGTGCCTCAAAGGGGAAGCCTGGTGTTCAAGGTCACTGGGAACAGCTTCTGAGAGGTAAGGATGCCTGCGGTGGAGCTTAAAATGAACCAGGTATGGGGAATCTAAGACTCTCAGAGCAGTTTTGCAAGTGATGCAAATGTGTCGATGGTGTTGTTGTTGACATCTGTCTCAATTCCTTTCTTTTCTCCTCTCTGCCTCCTGGGAGCCTAAGGCCTTATCAGGGTCCCTGTGCCCTCCTGCTTCCCTTTCGCTGCCTGGGTTACTGCTCTCCACTCTCCTGCCGCTATGGCTGGTGGCCAAGACATGCCTTTCTTCTCAAAGATCAGTTCTTGGTCTACTTTAATGATTAAAATTAAAATATACATTGGGCCAACCCTCTAAGCTCCAGTCTGGACACTGATGTCTCTAGAGTCAATACATTTGCTGCTACACGTATATTTATTCCCTATTGTCCCCTCCATTCCATCTGGATCACAGTCAGGTCAGGTGGAGGCAGCCACTTACTGATAATCTTCTCCCAGATTTATTCTCTCCTTCTTCTGATCTTTAGCTCAGCATATGGCTGTCTGGAGTAAACACCGCACTTCTCATTTTTCTTCACAGATGGCCTTGTGTCTGAATTCTGGCCAAAGGGTCGTCAGTGGAAATATCCGGTGGCAGATGTTGAGAACCTTTCTTCATCCTGCTGCTTGGAAGGCAGATGCTGCCACCGTGGACCAGGAGGTCAAGACCCCACCTGGGAGAGCAACAAGATAGCAGAAGCTTGAGTTCTTGTCACTGGAACCACACGTGAAACTTGGGTCACTTCCTTGGATTTGTAGAAGCCATTGCCATTTTTTTTTTCTTTTTGGTCTGTTTGTTGATCACTCTGAGCTAACTCCTAACAAAGCAAGTGCAATCAATCTAACAGCAGCCTGTGTAGACTGTTTCTCACCCAGGCCATTTTACTTAAGCCCCCGGAAGCATGATCTTTCACCATTTCCCCCAGTTCCTTCTAGTCTGTGATGCTGATGTGTACAGCAGAAAGAGGATGTGGATGTGTAATTACATGATTGGGTTCCCTGGTTGGCCGGCAGGAGCAATAACAAGCCAACAGCCCTCAGAAGTCCGCGTCATCCCTCTAGTACACACATCAGATTCATCATGTTCATTATTTGTCTAAAACACACATTCCCCCCACATGCCTCTTTCAGTCTTTCACCTCCAGGATGGAGCTAATTAATCTGCATGCAGCCCAGACTTCATTACAGTTTTCTTCTTTGGAATGTGCTTTTTTCTTACTCTATGCCATTGCCAAAAGAAGGGAGTGGGCTACCAGGGCCATTGGCAGTGGACATACGGAGTCCAGCCCTAGTTGGATCCCCTACTAACTTTGGAGGTGACATGCAAATCATTCTACAGTTTTGCTTTTTGTCTTTTCATTTTCCCCACCCCCTGTCTCTTACTACAAGGTCTGCCTGCTCTATTTAGTTTCTTCTAAATTTACTAATTTAACCTGATTTATCTCTGCCAGCTATCTTGATGCCTTTTTCTCTCCCTACAGAAAACATTCCCGTCTAAATTCTCCCTCTGATGCACACTCATGTTTGGTCTTGGGGACACCTGTTCTTCCCCACCCCCCACCACGATCCACCTTCCAGCATTAGGGTGCCAGCAAGCTTTCAAGGGTGTCATCTAAGGGCAATAAAAACAACTTTGAAAAGATCCAGGCCCTTTCGTAAGACCACAGTCTGCCCAGAAACAATCCTGTCTGTGACTTCCTTCTTTAAAATGTTGGATGTCAGAAGAAGGAAAAAGGACAAAAAGAGAAGGCTGGAATTGGAAGGTATGAGGGGCAGCTTAGAACTCTGAATGCTGCTTCTGATGGCAAATAGTGGAATTTAGTCCAGGAAAAGAAAAGAAAGCTTTATTTTCTCCCAGGTATAACCAATATCGATTTTTATACTATGATGTTAAGGGGAACTCCAGCTCAGATATTCAGCTCACTCTGCAGTGATAGTTTCCTACTGCATTTGCCATGACCTTAATGTTTTTGGTGGCAAGTGGAATGCATATTCTTACATGCTGAACCAAAAGTATTTCACCAGGGGTTTATTTCTATTATAATGTTTATCATTATGAAGTCTTTGCATTTACTTTGATTGTGAAATTTCTTCATTTCCTTATCTTTCTACTCTCAAATTGATTTGCATACAAATTCAGCTGGAAAACCATTTATGACAGTATTAATATTATTTGCCAAGATTGATTTATTTGTCCCTGAACCATAGTCTATACTGCTTCAAGGACGTACTTGACATTTCTTTGTTCTGCCTTTGAGTGGTTTGGCTCTTTCTGAAACATTCTCTGGGTTGTATTTCTATCCCCATATCATGTATTTGGAGATATTTGATAGTTGTATCATTAATTTTAAATTCTACGGCCATGAGCATGATGGGATTTCAAATTTGTCTTATGACTGTTCTGGTGGCTTTAACCCAAACCTTCAGGAAGAGACCAAAACCTGTCTAGAATTTTTATCTTTGTCACAAATCCTCAACTGGATGTTACTTATACTCTCCAAGAGCCCAGTATAACGCTACCTTTTTAGACAATCACTTTGTTCTGGCTACCGCTTCCTTGCTTTGGGAACACTTCCGGGTTACCCAGTAAATTGCTGAGACCACAGGAATTTCTTTTCGTGAACACAGAAGCCAAGACTAAGCCCAGGTCTATCTGACTCCAGCTTTCTTAATCTCTAAGGTTAGTTGTCATAACAGATTCTAAACCACAGGAAGTTTACAGCAAAAGAAGAACAAACACTAATACTTCCATCAACATTAAGCACTTCAAATTTACTTCTGATCTATGTGATTAAACTGTTGCTGAGAGGTGTGAATGTGTAATTTGTGTTCTGATATTTTTCTTAAGATTCTTGTTCTAATTTATTTGTATCAACATTACACTCATCATCCTTGATGTTCATATAATTAATCTAACATCTACATAATTCATATATGTGGTTTTATTGATAGGTCACGATGTTTCTAATACTCTTTTTAATTGTGTATTTATGGTGTCTTATTTGCAAATAATAGGATTCTTGGCCTTAAAAGATTCAAGACCAAGCAAGATTCTTCATCTTGAAATGATCATTTGGCTCCAAGCCACAAGCTGAGAGTTACTTAATGGCTTAGCTTTGACTAGGAAGGGTCTTGTAGACTTGAAAACTTTATAGCTTAAAAAACTTTATAGAGATGTGTTAATAAGCAATTAAAAAAATTAAAAACAAAACAATAAAAGAAAGAACATGCAAAAATACCAATCATTGCATATTTTAATGCATGCAACAGTTGCATTGCATGCACCTGTTTTCATTATTTTGTGTTCCAGTCTGGTTTTTGTACCTATCCATACAACATACACATTTTACAACTTGTCATTATACTGTGCATGTAATTTCTAAGCTTCTCTTTTCATTTCAAACCAAACCACAAATAGAGTATCCCAAGAATGGAAAAACAAGCACCACATATACTCACCAGCAAACTGGTATTAACTGAACAGCACCTAAGTGGACACATAGGAACTACTTTGATTGGGTGTTGGGCGGGTGGGAGGGGGAAGGGGGCAGGTATATATATGCATAATGAGTGAGATATGCACCATCTAGAGGATGGTCGTGCTTGGAGCTTGGACTTATGGGGAGGGGGGGCAAGAGCATTATTTGAAACCTTAAACTTTGTACCCCCATAATATGCTGAAATAAAAAAAATAAAATCATTATTTTAAGTGGTTGAATAATAGTGAAAAGCTATTGCAAATAAACCTGTGGTCTCCATTCTTGCTCATATCATTAAACAAATTTCATTGCGTTATTTCCTGGAATCAGGATCAAAAGGTAATGTATTTCATGATACCTAAACACCTTGTCATGTTGCTTCCTAATACACACAATGATGCCAGCAAAATATGAGTTTCTCAGTTTTTCTACAACTTTGACAGCATTGGATGTTACCATCAAAACATTTTCTAGAATGCACCCGTCGTCTCAGCTACTTGGGAAGCTGAAGCAGCAGGATGGTCTGAGCCCAGGGGTTCCAGGCTGCTGTGTGGTGTGATCTTGACTGTGAATAGTCACTGCACTCCAGCCTGGGCAGCATAGTGAGAGTGTATGTGTAAAAACAAAACAAAACAAAACAAAACAAAACAAAACAAAACAAACAAAAACCAACAACCCCCTGCAAAAAAATACAACCCCCCATTTTCTAGGGTTAGCTTAATAGTTATAAAACAACTTTACTCCATTTTAAAACATGGATCCTACTACCATTGGATAGTGAATAGATGACCCAAGGCTCCCTTAAAAATTCTTTATTCACTCTAAACAATTTGTCACCTTTCTGTGTGTGGCCTAGACTGGTTAACAGTAGCACAATGAAACATTAGATGAACAATCGGATGTGTAGTAATGCTGTTGTTTTTATTTGGCTTGTGGGGCTGTGGAGGGAGTTAAGGCCCCCGATTGAACACTAGAGGGTACTCCTGGCCACAGAATAGCTCTGCCCTTTCTTTCCATTCATGTTTCCTTAGCATTGTCTCCGGAAAACTGGCAGCGACACCCATGCACGTGGCCTCATAAATGCCGCTCCATTGACTTCCTGGCAAGACAGCCTCCAGGGATCCGGAATGCGGAGGGATATTTAGCCCTTGGAGACTCAGGTGCCTTTTCTTCTAGTAAGGTACTGCTTGGGTGTTTTCAGGGATAGGCAGATGCTTACACAAAACCCCAGGCAGCTCTCTGGAAGGGGATCAGTGCAGCAAACCCTGAGCAAGGATTGCTCAAGTTCACAGGCGCTGAGCCCCAAGCCCCCACGTTCCCGGATCTTAATGCTATGTATTGATAGTTTGGATTGGAATGGGGACTGGCCCGGGAGGGGAGGGAGGCAGGCAGGCAGAGAAGGGGAGGCAGGAATGGACACGTAGGTTTCTGGGAAAGCGAAGGAGAAGGAAGCAGCCTTGAATCCCTGGAGCTAGGACTCGTCATCCTACTGGGAGAGAGGAAGCAACGTGGCCCTTCGTTATTTTGATTTTATCAAAATAATTAGAACAATATTTTGTCCTGAATCCAGGTGGCCTCTTTCTCTGAGGAGTTCAGAAGACGGTCATTGCATTAGCCGTGAGGGCGCATCTGCCAGGATAACTCCCCCCCCACCGAGCCCCCATTTTGTTTCCTGAGCCGGAAATCGGGTCCCCCAAAGGCGACGGCTTCCGGCTGCGCGGAGGCAGGCGCCATGTTTACGTCTCACGCAGTGAGTGACCCTGATCGTATATGGCGTCTTCCTGGGGCTGTGTGTGGGCTGAGGACAGGCTCGAAGGCATCACCTTCCCATAAACTCAGGCCTTCTCCAGACCTTGAAGCCTTTTCAGAGTTGTGTCTCAGTTTCTCTTAGATCTATCTTCAAACAAATTCAGGTTTCTCCTACATTAAAAACAAACAAGACCCCTCAAATCACTCTTCCCTCTACCTGCCATACCCCGGAGCAAACTTCCTGTCTTTATCTTTCTTTCCAACATCGAGAAAGATGCATCTTTATAACAATAAGAGATTTGAAAAACCCTGACTAGCCTAGATGTTGACATTGAATTTTGGTTTTGGCAAAAGTTGGACTATTACTCAAAATATTAAAAACAGCATTTGAAAACTATTTCATGGCATAGAAGAATCCTCCAGGTATATAATTTAAATGAAGCAATCAGGAACAAACTTGCATATAAAATAAGATTCCAGTAAAAAAACACCAACCTCCCCTAATATATGCGTAGAAAAATGTCTGGAGGGAACTGTTCCAAGCTGTTCAAGGTGTTTATCTTTGGGGGTGGGAGCATGGGAAATGGCAGTTTTCTTCTTTTTTTTTCCTTTCCTTTTTTTTTTTTTTTTTTTTTTTTACAGCTTTATAGAGATACCAGGCAGTTTTCTTCTTTAAACTTCCTTAAAAACTTTTTGCAATAAATTGATAAGAGTTCTTATAATCAGAAAAGGGCTGTATTGTTGTTAATCTACCTTATCTTTTTCACTTCCTTCCATTGATGACCTCGTTAATTAACCCTTGCATTATACTTTCCTTCTCCACATCTGTACAGAGGTGGTTCTTTCCAGGGTCACAAGTGATCACCTGCTGATTTGATTTAATGATATATATATTTTTCTCAACTTCAACCTACCCCCATGGAAATCACTGTCTTCTAGACATTTCCAGATGGGTGCCCACCAGGACCTCATCCTTGCAATGTCCAAAATGGAGCAGATACTCTTTATTTACCTGTCTCAGCCTCTCCCTGTTCTCCAACCCAAATGTCCTGCTCATTGTTTACTTTCAGTGACACTGCTTTGCTTCCATAGTCCTGGACTTGAAGTAGCAGGTTCTGTCTGACAACTCCCTCCTTCTGGTTTTCTTCCCCATCCACCCAGTCATTGAGTCCTCTGAATTCTACTTCTGTAATTTCACTTTCATCTAACCCCCCTTTTTTGTTCTTATTGTGCCTCTTCTAGGTCAGAAGCTTCCTGTCTGATACCGGGATCTTGTGTTGATAGCATCCTAACAGTGGGCTTTGGCTCTAGTCTGCACCAACTAATCCACCCACCAATAGTTTGGAGCAGGTTTCTACACTTCTTAGAAATCTCTCCCAGCTCCTCATGGTCTACCAAACCCAAGGCAGATTTTCTTAGGTTTTCTTAGGCTTCACTATCCCTTTCAATGGGGTTTCCTCCATACCCTAATCCAAACCCTGGGCTTTGGTCAGCCTAAGCAGACTGCACACTTTT